CGGGCACGGTGCAATCATCATGCTTTGGACGTGGGTGGAACTGTTTTTGGGCCAGATTGGCTGCCGCGATCTTGGATGAATATAATATATCATAAAATATATATATATATAACTGTAGTGTATACATAAACATGTCTCCTTATACCATCTTGGTGCTTTGATTCGTCCAAAAAGTCACCAAGCCGATCATGGCAAGATGCATGCCGCATCCTTGTACAGGCAAAAAAACCATGTCATCTCCTTTGCTCATTGTGGTTTGAGGGCTCCAGTGGCCACCCTCCTCCCCGCCCCGCCCGGCCCCCCCTCTCGGGCCCACCAAGTCCCCACGGAGGCCCGCTGGCCTAGCGTTCGGAGCTGCTGGGCCATCAACAGCGCGGAGTAGCCCATGTACCTCCCGGGCACCGCCCTCGACGGAGCGCTTGGAGCTCCGACGTGGAGGAGTGGAGGAGTAGTGAGCAGTGGCGAAGCTGAAAAAGCCGTGTGCTCCACTTTCTGAAGTCTGAAGGGGGAAAAAACAGGCAGAACACCACCACCCTGGTTCGTCTGCTTCCTTTTGGGGCTGTGGCTGCCAAGCGCCACCCATTCATCCACTTTGCCAGGGGCTCGCCATCGTGGACCGCCATCAGGGGGCTCTCCGATCTCCACGCACAGTACCGTTCAACTTCACGACTCTTGGCTTGTTCCCAGTAACCATCATGATGCACTGCGTTTCCTGGGCCTGCCGAGATATGGTCCCCCCGGACCTCTACCGGCGGACCGCCCGGACCTCGATCGCCGAGTCGGATCCTTTCGGCGTGCCGGGCCTTGGAGTCCGAACGGAAGGGGGAGGCGGCGTGGGGTGTCTGCCAACAAGGCAGGGGCGGTCTGTCCGCTAGAATTCATTTGGGTGGGGTGAGGGGAGTTCCAGTTCTGAGTGCATTAGAGAGGTCCCCTGCAACCAGTGGCTTTTGGTCTAGTTCCCTTTTCCAGAAGGGTCCAGGATTCGAACCCACGCCTTTCAGCCCAGTACTTCCTCGTCTGCTGCTCTCCCAGCGTGGACTCTCTCGGTATCGAAAAAATAGTTCCTTAGAGGGGGGGTGTCCATGAACCACCCCAAACCGGGGGCCCTGGCGGCCCTGGCCCACACCGTTCTCTACAACTCGCATCACCTCATGCCTCTCCCCACCCCCCTTTCGACTGCCCAACGAACACGAACGAACACCGCACGTGCCGAACTCCACAATGCGGTCGCCCGGCAGCAGGCTCCCCTGGCACGAACGACCGGGTGGGTGTGTTCAGTGGTCACGGATGGACCCAGAGTGACGAAGCGATGGACGAAGACCTGTGGTGGTTTTTCTCTTCGACCCTTGAACGCGAACCTGCAAAAAAACGGTTCTTGGCACCAGTTCCAAATGTGCATCACAGGCGTCGCGTCCGCGTGTCGCCTCAGGAAGAGGCGAAGGGTAAGTGGGGAAACGGTGACCAAGTTACAAGATTCGATTGACTCACTCCTTACCCCATGACAGCCTGCTGGTGTAATATATGAGAAGTGTGAGAAACTCGCCATATTGTGACTGTACACGGAAACCCAGCAAAAAGAAAGTAAAAACCTGCCGTCATCGCTTCTGCGATCCTGTTAGGTCGGCATCTCACAATGACTGGAACCTTCCAAAACCTGGTTTCGGGGGTCCAAAACGTGTCCAACGGGTCCATCTTCCAACCTCCCCCTCCAATCACGAAGGAATCTCTCTCTCTCTCTCTCTCGCAGGCTTCTTTTTCGCCTCCAAACACGGCGAACCGACGCACCACCACCTGCCACCGGCCGACCCGACCCATCCTGCAAGAGCGAAGCCTTGCGCCCACCGGCCACCTGGGTGGGTGAAGACTGACAGCATTTGGTATATTCAAAACATTCAGATCTATACCAAATTAATGCCTGCCATCTAATTATATACACTGTTAATCTGGAAGTCTGACTGATATGCCATGGTGCGATGTCCAGCCGGTGGAAAGCAAGACGTGCCGCTCGAAACGAGTGAACGGGCTTTGCCAAATGGGCGCGTCGACATGGCTCGGCTCGGGCAGACGGGCGAAATCCGACCGGACGAAGTGGCCGGACGATGGGGCGTTTCCATCTGGCACCCACCAGGAACGCACCAGGAACGGACTCAGTCCATCTCGGAATTGGAGTCAGCCCCGGGTCTTCAAGCACACCTTGTGCTTCACCTCCCAGTCTTCAACGCCCTTAAGCGACCCATCCCCCCGGTGTCTCGCCGTGTTCCCGCCGAACGCCTTCAGCCACTTGCGCCCCGAGGCATAGGTCTCGATGGCCGCCAGCACACCCTCCAAGTCCCCCACCTGGTCGCCGGGGGGACCCGGTGGCCAGGAGGGTTTGGGGGGACCCGTCCACCTCGCTGGGGACATTGGGAAGCTACAAAAACGGAGATCCAGTCTGATGATTTTGTCAGATTCTCAATCCATGGCCTTACTGTTCCTAGAAACAAGAAGCTACGAGGGGCTCCTGGTATCGCTACTAGGAGCAAGGACGCTACTAGTAGCTCCTACAAGTAGGGTCTACCCCATTGATGGGGTCGCTTGCCGCTGAAGGTAGCCAACCTACATAGCCCTAGCACACTGCTGGTGTTGTAGGTTGTCAAACTACGACATCCTAGATTCGCCTTCGATCTGCATCTGCCCATTCACATGCTCTGTTGGCCCTCCTAGATTCGTCTTAGATCTGCACCTGCCCATTCACATGCTCTGTTGGCCCTGTAGGTTGCCAGCCTACTGAGCCCTAGCTCTGTTTCAAATTACTTATATGCTCTGGTGGTGTTGTATGCACATGTAGGTTGCCAACCTACTACATCCTAGATTCGTCTTAGATCTGCATCTGTCCATTGATATGCTCTGCTGGCCCTGTAGGTTGCCAACCTACTGAGCCCGAGCTACCTACTGAGCCCCAGCTCTGTTTTTACTTACTTACATGCTCTGGTGGTTTTGTATGCACATGTAGGTTGCCAGCCTGCTACATGCTAGATGTGTCTTAGATCTGCATCTGCCCATTCACATGCTCTCTTGGCCCTGTAGGTTGCAAACCTACTGAGCCCTAGCTCTGTTTCTGCTTACTTATATGCTCTGGTGGTGTTGTATGCACATGTGCCAACCTACTACCTCCTAGATTCGTCTTAGATCTGCATCTGCCCTTTCACAATCTCTGTTGGCCCTGTAGGTTGCCAACCTACTGAGCCCTAGCTCTGTTTCTACTTACTTATATGCTCTGGTGGTGTTGTATGCACATGTAGGTTGCCAACCTACTAC